ACCCGCGTGTTCTAGCCCAAAACCTGACTATTTCAAGGGGGGGTAGCATACATATATGTATATATATATATGTTTTCATGTGTATGTAGATTTTGAGAGCGAGAGAGACAGAGAGTCAGATTCACCCTAATTGGTGGCTTGGCTTGGTGGTTTGAATGGTTCAGCGAAATCAACAAACTCCCCTGAGCCACCAATCCACCAATCCGGGGAAGCTGACATACCGTGGATGGACGAAATCCTGCACCACCGAAAAGCTCCGGAACGATGATTCCCCTGCAAATACCAACGGGCAATGGTTTCCCATCGTTTCAAAGTGGTGAAACATTTTGTCCATCCACAGTAGGGAACCCGCTCCAGCGAATTTACAGGTGGTCCGGCAGCGGTACAGCCTGTGGGAGGCGAAGAACCCGCAGACCATGCACTGGATAGACGCGAGCCCGGAGGATTTGGTTCTGGGCTACTCCTTCCTTGCAGATTCAGTGGGAACCAACAGGTCTTTGAGGGCTCGCACAAAGGGAGAGGGAGATTCCAATAAAAATGAAGAATTGTTTTTGGTTGCATGGGAATCTGCAAGGCAGATGGGCCAAGAGAGCAAACCAAAAAAGGGGGTTCCCGCAAAGACTTCTTTTGAGTCGCAGCCGAGCATCTCAATCCGGGGTCGGGCTAAGTAGCGCTTACTCACTTCCCGCCACATTTGACCTGGTGCCTTTTCGGGTATTTTTCGGAGCGGCTTGGCAGCTGTGGTTCTTTTCCTGACGCAGCTGGTTCTGATCCCATCATTCCGGCCGAGATAAGCAAGTGTTTGCATTGTTCTGGGTTCCCGCTAGGAACACGCCTCAACGAGAATTTGGGTTCTTCCCTGCTGGTTTCAAACAGATTCGTTTTGAACGGGTCCTGACCGATAAATCTAGTTTTACTCCCCGCTACAGGTAAATCTGGGATCCAAAAAGGGGGCTCCCACAAAGAGAGATTCCTCTGCAAATGATGAGTGTTGAACCCACTCAACTACATCAGTTTTACAGGAACTTCCATTTGTGGGGTTTCGGGTTCCAGGTTCCCCCTGCGCACCATACCGCAACCTTGGCTTACCGCCTTACTCCCAAGCGGCGATGCTGCACATCTTGCAGCAGCTTCCCTGAACATGTTCAAAAAAGGAGGGGCCGGCTTGAATCTATTTGGGCGTCTAACCCAATGGATGCTCGTTTCGTTGCGCGACGTTGGTTTCGGCCCTTGTTGTCTTTTAAAGAGTGTCTGTGGGGGGGCCTTCTTGAAGCTGTTGGCTTCCCCTGAACACCAACTGAGGATCATTTCAACTGCGTCTTGGTGTCGACGCCGGTATTTTACACCTGCTCCGCGGAAAGCAAAAAGGCAGACAGGGACTCTGACACTTCTAACTTACGCCCTCATGCAAAGGGGCAATTGGTATGTGGTTAATAACCACGCACCAAAGCCCTGGTTGTAGGCCACCTGGATAGGTCATAACCAAGGTTACAAACTACCCGCCGCACTAAATTGCCCTTAGAGCATGCGAAGTGGCACAGGAAGAACCCCTTCCTTGGGTCGAAAGTGCACTAAAACGCCACATAGAGTCCTGAAAGATGAAACACCACATAGTCAGGCTTCCTGAGAAAAAGTGCCAGCCTTTTTGCGACCAGAGAGCAGTGGCCAATGCTAGAAACCATGCAAATCGAGAGGGCGGCGGCTCGGCTTTTGTTTCCATAATTTGCCCATAGTATTCCACTTTTCGGATTTGCGCGCACAAATTGAACATGAACCCCAACAAAAGCATAGACATATTTTGAGGAATCTCCTGGGAATACATCGCAACCGACTTGTTGAGGCAAGGATCCCTTTTCGGGTAGGGTGAAATCCCATGTTATTAGGGGTAGTTTGAAGGTAGGTCTCTTGCTTTCTTGACACCAACCCCTAGGTGTTCGGATCTCTTTTCGCGTGTTGGTTGCCTTTGGGCCAAGGAGGGCGGGTTCCAGCAACCCGAGGCTTCCTGTGCGGCTTGGCGTGTGGGGAAGACCTGGCCTGGGACATCTTGATCCACCAGGACCGGCAGCCCCGTGGTTTCAACGGGACACCTCGAAGGATCAGCGGAGCCAGGGTTTCCCAAAAACCCTCGGTTGTTTGAAGGGGAAGGTTGGTCAAGCATTTGCTGTCCGTGGACCCGCGTTTGGAGATGTAGCAAAGCATCATGTCTATGAGAACCGCAAGCGCCTGGATGCATGCCTTTTTGGGACTCCATGGTTATTCATATTGCTGAAAGGGACACTGCAGGGTTTGCTTTTGGTTTTGACATGGGACCCTTTCTTTTCGCACAATGCCCATAGAACCCAAACTTGCGGACCTAAATCACGTGTTTCCTCAAACTGTGGACCCCTTTATGGATTGAAAGCCAAGGCAAGGAGTCAAACGCAGAGTATCCTTCTGATGCCTCATGGTTGCTTTTTCTTTTTCAGTGACCCTTTTTTCCTAATAGCTTACCCTCTCAATT